CAGATGCCCCACAGGAGGCACTCACTCAGTTATGCCAAGAGATTTGGAAGACAGCTACCTGGCCAACTGACTGGAAGAGATCCATATCTGTACCCATTCCAAAGAAAGGTGATCCCACAGAATGTGGAAATTATAGAACAATATCATTAATATCACACACAAGTAAAATCTTACTGAAGATAATTTAAAAATGGTTGCAGCAGTATACTGACAGAGAACTTCCAAAGGTGCAAGCTGGATTCAGAAGAGGACGTGGAACAAAGAATATCATTGCTGATGTCAGATGGATCTTGGCTCAAAGCAAAGAAAAACAGAAAGATGTTTACTTGTGTTTTATAGACTATGCAAGAGCATTTGATTGTGTGGATCATAATAAATTGTGGATAACATTGAGAAGAATGGGAATTCCAACACTTAATTGTACTCATGAGGAACCTGTACATAGTCCAGGAGGGTGTTGTTCGAACAGAACAAAGGGACACTGCATGGTTTAAAATCAAGAAGGGTGTGCATCAGGGTTGTATCCTTTTACCATACTTATTCAATCTATATGCTGAGCAAATAATCAGAGAAGCTGGACTATATGAAGAAGAGCAAGATGGCATCAAGATTGGAGGAAGAATCATTAACAACCTGTGATACGCTAACAACACAACTTTGCTCACTTAAAGTTAGGAGGACTTGAAGACTGAAGAATACAGTCTGCAGTATGAATAACATCTCAAAATAAAGAAAACAAAAATCCTCACAACTGGGCCTATAAGCAGCATCACGATAAATGGAGAAAAGATTGACATTGTCAAAGACTTCACATTGCTTGTTTCTATAATAGACGCCAATGGAAGCAGCAGTCAGGACATCAGACGAGGAAGAGGACTGGGCAAGTCAGCTGCAAAAGACCTCTTTCAAGTGCTGAAGAGCAAAGATGTCTCCTTGAGGACATCCACGGTATTTTCAAGCCATGGTATTTTCAATTGCCTCATATGCATGTGAGAACTGAATAAGGAATGAATGAGGAAGAAGACCGAAGAAGAACTGATGCTTTTGAGTTGTGGTGCTGGCAAAGAATGCTGAAAGTACCGTAGACTGCTAGAAGAACTAACAGATCTGTCCTGGAGGAAGTGTAGCCGAGATACTCTTTGAAAGGGAGAATGGCCAGACTTCCTCTTAACCACTTTGGTCATGTTATCAGAAGAGACCATTCCCTGGAGAAGGATGTCATGCCTGATAAGGTAGAGGGTCAATGAAAGAGGGGAATGTCCTCAATGAGATAGACTGACACAGTGGCTGCAATGATGGGCTCAAAGTATAACAGGGATCGCAGAGACGGCACGGGACCAGGCGGTGTTTTGTTTTGCTGTGCATAGGGTCACTATGAGTCAGAGACGACTCGATGGCACCTAACAACAACAATGTGGTAGGAGATTTGCAGAGTTATGATCTATACATGAACAAATCTGTGCCTTTAGGACTCATTAAGACTGTATTCAAACCTTAAATTGAAAAAATAAGTAAATAAAAGACAATAGTTTTTCAGAGCTTCTACACTTTAGTCAACTTGATCCCCAAATTTACCCAGAGATTGTGGTTCAAACATTTAACATACTTGGCTGCTAACCAAAAGCCTGGATGTTGAAGTCCACCCAGAGGCACATCTGAAGAAAGGCCTGGCAATCTACTTTTGAAAACTCAGACGCTGAAAACCCTGTGAAGCACAATTCCATTCTGACACACATGAGGTTACCATGAGTCAGAATCAACTCTATGGCAACTGGTTTACTGGTATCAAAGACTCACACAGCTGCAAGGAACTTTACAGCTGTACAGATATTTAGCCTTTGAGTTTTCTCCCAAACCACCAAGGAAGAATTCCCACAACATTTGATTAAACTTCATTTAAAATATTTAACAAAGTATATAATAAAGAACTGGATTCATCCAAATGTTATATACCACATGTTATAACAATGGAGTCAACCAAAACATGAATTTATACAGTCCGTGGGAAAAAAATTTATCTTGCTAACTCTGTGTACAGATTTTTGTGTCTTACAAAATGTGTAACTGATTAGAAAGGTAGTAGCTCTGTGCTGTTTTGTTTTTTAAATACAGGCTTATTCAAGGCTACTCATATGAAATTGTTAAAGTTAGTATACTATTAAAGTACACCTGGGTCATTCCCAATTAACTGTCAGGCAGGCCTAGCAAATTTCCATAACAAATGCTTCCATCTTCTCATAATAGCCTCTTGCACAATAACTAATGAATATCTAATAAGGGGTTCAAATAGTATTATATCATAGGTAGTTTCAGGGCTTAAGTTTAGGGCACTTGTTGTCTACGTTGTATTTATGATTTTAAAAATGCAAGCAGGTGTTCAGCTAGTGATTCAACTTGAAAACTTTCAAGAGTGTGGATAAGTTTAGCTGAAGAGAACTGGTGCTGCAAAATGAGCTGTTAAATAACAATGAGAATCAGAATTTTCTTGATTCTGTGTAACCAAACAAAATACGATTGGATTCTGAGACTTAGAAGACCACATCTATCATCCGTACCCCATTTTAAACTACTGATTTATCAAAAATAGCTTCAATGTTTTGTTGTGCTTTTTAACTGAATGACTAATGTGGTAAATTTGAATTTACTCACATTTGTATTAATAAAAACCACTTTTTCTGTATTACATATATTACAAGTTCTCGTTATTTCACTTGATAGCATTCCATTGCTCTAAAATAAAAGTTTGAAAACTACTTTTTTAATTGAATCTTGCCCTCAAATAAGGTAGAGCCAAACCATATTTTTTGGCTGTTTCTTTTGTTCTCTTTCTATAGTCTTTACAAATATTTTAAAGTCTTTTATAATAGACTCTCTAAACTTTCTCCTTGTCAACAAGTTCATTTTCTCCCAAACTCAAACTCACCTAACTTCCTACAAAAGCCCTAGAAATCGAAATTTGGGTTCTAGCGTCAGTGAGCTAAGATGCGTTGGTTGTGCAGTGGTTAAAACATTCGGCTGCCAACCAAAAGTTCAGCGGTGAGAACACATCAGCCACTGCGGGGAAGAAAGATGAGGCAGTATGCTTCAATAAAGACTTACAGCCTTGAAAACCTTATGGAGCAGTTCCACTTCCTATAAGGTTGCTATGAGTTGTAATCAACTTGATGGCAGTGGATTTTTGGTTTTGTAGAAGTTTTTCTCTCTGCTTGAACACTTTGCGCTCCAACTATTCTTAAGTGAAAAACTATCCCTTTCAGGAAACCTTTCGAGTTTCTCAAATCTCAGCGAAGGGCCTTTAGTCCTGCTTCCACAACACCCTCCAATTCTCCCACCTTAGTACTCATCAAGGAAAACTATATTGCTCATCTTTGTTGCCCCAGTACCTGGCAATGACAAATATTTGTTAAATAAATCAATTAAAAGCAGATTATTAAATCATGTTCACCATCTCCATTTCATAAGAATCAAAGTCTTAATGATAAGCTTTGCTAATTTAAGGTACACAGAGGGAATTTAATTTGCCCAGGGTTCCAAAGCCGGTAAATTGCAACAAAAAAATAGAACCTGGGACCCCTGAGTCAGGAGCTATTTGCGCTGTTCTCAGCAGCACCCATTTAAATTCTTATCCGACACATCTCAGACCGGGCAAACTAAAACGTCGAGAGTAAGGAATTTCTGGAAAGACTATTTGGTTGACCCTTTTCTCCAGAGAATCTATAAAGAAACTGGTCCCAGAACAGTCTTACAGGTCTAATGGCCAGGGATTTGGCGTTTTCCTAGGAAAAAGCGTCCCACACAGGCAGACTATGGAGCCTGACAACCTACTCCAGAAGTAAACTATAAAACTGGAGGACAAAATTTAGCACCTAGAGAGCGACAACAGCCTCTTTGTCACATCTCTTCACACTCATCAACTTTCCAGTCCTCCCCGTTTTCCCGTTCGCTCTGCCAATGCATATTCTTAGAGTTCCTTCCCGCCTGGGCCCCGAATCAGTCTCACTGTATAATCTCCTCGCTGACATCTAGGCCGAAGGTTTTCCGCAATTGCTGAGTGGACCAGCGAACCAGCTGCTCCCGGGACGCCGCATCAGCCACCGCCATCTTCCCCCGGCGGAACCAGCTGGGCTGCAAAAGCCCTGCGTCCTGCGCCTGACTAGTTCCCTACGCAACACCGAACTCCCTCGCTAGGGTTCCGCCAGTTGGCGCTGCCCGGGGTCGTAAAGGTGCGGCCAACACCGAACCTTACCACAAGGGCCCGGTCTTCCTTTTTCCTTACCTGTTTACACTTGTTCTCGAGCTCTATTCGCGCGTGATTCTTCCACATCGTCAAATGTAAGACTCGCGGAAGATCACTGGGAATTCTGCAAAGAGAAAGCAAATACCTATAAAAACTAAAGTTTTTTTTAAAAAAGAAAAGAAAACCAACTAACTGCCTTTGAGTGGATTCCGACGCATAGAGACCCTTTAAGACAGAGTAGAACTGCCCCCACAGGGTTTCTAAGCATACTCCCTCATCTTTCTCCCGTGGCTCACATGCTGGGTTCAAACCCCAGACCTTTTGGTTAGCGGACAAATACTTTAACCACTACAGTTTACTAAACTCCAAACTCACCGACATGGAGTGGACTCATAGCGACCCCCATTGGGTTTCCCAGACTGTAAATCACTTCGAAAGTAGATTGCCCCATCTGCCTTCCCCTCAGGGGCTGGTGGGTTTGAAACGCTGATCTGGTTAGCAGCCAATTGCTTATCCACTACACCACTCACTGCCCACGAGTTGTTTCCGAGTCATAGCGACTCACCTCCTTGGGTTTGCAAAGTGGCGTAGTGCCTAAGGCATTTGGCTGCTAACCAGAAGGCTGGCGGTTCAAACCCACCAGCCATTCTTCAGAAGGAAGATTGAGCAATCTACTTCCATACTATCACTATGGAAACCCAAGGAGGGGGGGGAGGTTTCTGTGAATTGGATCCTACTCCATAGCAGTGAGTTTGGTTTGATCTCTATGGAAGGTGCGGAATACTTCCCCTGGAAGTATTAATAAGGAGCTCTGGTGGCACAGTTGTTAAGATATTTGGCTGCTAACCAAAAGGTCCATGGTTCAGGCCCACCAGATGCACCGAGAGAGGAAAATGAGGCAATCCACTTCCGTAAAGATTTACAGCATTGGAATCCTTGTGAGGCAGTTCTGCTCTGTCCGATCTTCCCGGGTCACTATGAGTCCGATCCAATGGCTGTGGGTGGGGTGGGTAATCTAATACAAGATTCGCACTGCTAAACCATTTTTCCAGGAGTGCCAAGACAATTTAGCAAACTCAAGGGGAAAAAAAAATATATTAAAACAGGTGCTGAGATTTGACTCTGACCATCTTTCACATGAGTTCTGTGTGATTACCTTTTAAAAGTTTAAGTTGAGGAGATTTAAGAGTCTTCTGCAACTCCCTAACCCTCTGAGACAATGTGATGGGGACATTTTAGCCAGATTTTCTGTATAGTATCTTCTGATTCATTTAATCAATAAATGTAATTGTCTGGCATTGCTTTTCCTTTATAGATTAAAAGTTGTTTAGCCCCGGGGGACTTTCCGTAAAATGGAGGAATAGGCAGACAAGCTACACAGACCCTCTTCAACAAAGAAAAGAAGAACCAATTGACAGAGATAGAGAAGATAATCCTGGAGCCCTGAGCTTTGAAAGGAACTATACAGAAGTGAATTAGGCACCAACTAGTGGAAAAACCTGAACGAAAACAGGACCCAAGGATAGGCTGTTTGCCAATGTCGGCAGGGGCATCCAAGAGGCTGACAACAAGAAAGGAGACAGGTGATGAATGTATAAGTGCTGTCAGCTAGTGAATAGAGGAGCACAGCACAGTACCCTGCTTGCGTAGATAACATACAAACAAAACAAAGAAAATGAAAATCATGGGCAAGTCACTCCAACATATGGTCACCAATTAAATATAAACACAAATACGTCACAATGCCTCAGAGACAAGAAAGCATCATAGTCCACACAAAGAAGCAAGATATAGCAGGAGAAACAAGGGACCAGGATACAGACTCAAAACACATCCCTGAGGAAGATGCAGCATTGGAGCTCCCTGATAAGGAATTTAAAAGAATTATATTTAGGTATCTTCAACAAATTAAGAGACAGATCAAGGAAAATACTGACAACATTGAGGAAAACACAGAGAAAACACTACAACAATTTCAATTCCAAAATGACAAAATAAATGAAAAATTAGAAATGACACAAAATCTACACACAGAAATCCAGAAGATTAATACCAAATTTTCAGAAATAGATAAGACATTGATTGAATGGGCAAAGGAGCAGAATTGAATCAATGGAAGACAGAATTAGGGAGCCTGAAGGCAATACCTGAACACTTCTTTGGAAAGGGATCAATCAGAAAAAAAGATCAAAACAAAATAAAGAAAGCCTAAAGTTCATGTGGAATACCATCAGAAGGAATAAGCTACGTGTAATCGGAACTCCAGAACATGAAGAGAAAAAGAAAACCTTTGAAGATTTGTTGGAAGAGAATTTTCCTGGTATGATGAAAGATGAGAATATATCCATTCAGGAAGTCCAATGAACCCCAAACAGGAGAGACCCCAAAAGAAAATCAAGACATATCCTCATCAAACTCACCAAAATCAAAGACAAAGAAAGAATCATGAGAAGTACGGGAAAAATGAAAAGTTACCTACAAGTTGTTGTTGTTGTTGTTAAGTGCCGTCGAGTCGTTTCCGACTCATAAAAGTTACCTACAAGGGGCAACCAATAAGACTAAGCTCGGATTTCTCAGCAGAAACCATGTAGGCAAGAAGACAATGGGATGGTATATATAAAACCCTGAAAAAGAAAAATTTCCTACCAAGAATTATGTACCCAGCAAAAATGTTCCTCAAATATGATGGTGAAATTAGGATATTTCCAGATAAGCAGAAATTAATGGAATTTGTTAAAACCAGACCAACCTTACAAGAGATGCTAAAGGGAGCCCTTTTGGACAGAGAAGCAACAACAGCCAACAACTGACCATTAACACACATGATGATATAACCCAGAAGCCAACCGAGCTATGGAAGCATCCAAAGTAAAGAAGCCTATGAGATTATAAACAGGGAACCAGAGACAGCAATTGACAAATGAGGACAACTACAAACAAAAAAGAGGGAAAAAACTGTGTCATTACAGAACTTCTAATGGTAGGGAAGTCAAGACAACTACAAGATAAAACAAACTGTTCTAAACTTGGGAAGAAAACTATAAATCACAGGGTAACTTCAAAGAAAAATGATAAATCTTGACATCAAAATAAAAAAGAGGACCAGCACAAATATTTAGCAAATACTAAAACAATACCAACAAAGGAAGTGATAACACGATTCATAAACAAAACAAGCTCAGCATAGAAAATTATATGGAACAAAGAAATTGACACCACAAAAAAACACATAACAAAAATGACAACAACAAATTCAGATTTGCTGATAATTACATATCTGGCAAGGGGCTTGTTGTTGTTGTTGTTGTTTGCCGTCAAGTCGGCCCTGACTCATAGCGACCCCTCCTTGTGTTTCCAAGGCAGTATCACTA